GTATTCGTACCCTCATTGCTTATAAGAGAAGTTTGATGAAATCAAATATGCTACTTTTTATTATAAATGAATGTATAAAGTTTATTTATACCAAATTATAACAAAATTGATTAACTAATAACAAAAATATATTGATTTTGCTCCTCATAGTACATAATTAATAGTCCTTTCGGGTAAGATCTGTTCGTAATTAATAGTACTCTCGCGTGCGGTGGTAGAAAGTTCTTTTTATTTCGCGGACTATGTCTGCGGACGAGTCGCGATACAGTGATCGAGTTTTATCTTTCGTTTCGCCGTTTGCCCTGGTAAAATTCTTGAACAACCCTGATTGGTCAACCCCACGCGTTGGGCCCTTCCAATCAGCGTTGCTCTTTTTGTCCTTCTTACCGCCCGCCCCTTACGCTCTTTGTGTATTTTCGGGACGCTTCGAGTACCCTTCGGAAACTTTCCTAATCCATGACGGTCTCTTTAGCTATTGAGGAATTTCTTAGAAAGACTCTACTGTGCAAACATCCACTGTGAAAGACTCTACTGTGCTATCAGGTGGTGAGCTTGTCTTCTCAAAAATAGCTTCTTCGAAGGAGAGTCATAAATTACGTTGGCCGTTTGCACGAAGACTGAAGATCTTATTGTACGCACGACTGGTCGCTACAGTCCATAAAAGTATTCGTACCAGTGTAGATTTTGTTAAAAAGTCATATGTTATAGTAGCTTTTTTACTTTGTATTAATTTTCTAGTATTTAGTGGGTTTACCTTTATGCCTTATTACATCGTTTAATCGATTTGGCATACTTTTTACCAGTTTTAATGTTGTATTTGGTTCAATACTATTCCAAACTTCCAAAATCTTTTCTTTCAGCATTTGTTTATTCGAAATTTCATGCTCGTGTCACGAGACCGTATTAGACCCCAAAGAGACAACGTACGCTCCTTTGTCCTCTTCTATCGTATGGACAAATTCACCGATTCGTATGAAGAAAGTGAATTCGAATGGTCACGAAACTTAGAATTATTACTTAGGATTCAGAGATCTTAACCGAATGAAAGTAATTGGATGTTTCCGTAGAAAATAGTAAAGTGACGCTTAGAACACGGACCAGTATTAAAAAAGTTTTAACGAGACGAACAAAGTGTAGCTTGGTTAGAATCGAATTAGTCAATGACTGCTTTATTCGGAGGTCCGAGGATTTTTATACATGTGCGTTTATCAAGAGTATATCCGGTGAGATTAGATTAGGCGTTGGAATGTCGCTTTGTTTCACACCCCCGTTGTTAGATTCGATTTGGTTCCAGAAATCGAACAATCTACCTCTTTCCTGATTTTGGTGGTGTCCATTGGGGGTGGTTCGTAGGCTGGTAGATCGCTAGGCCACGAGATTTGTGTAGTGTTGTCTTCCGAGGCGGTTGAGTACCGTACGCTTTCGAACTGTTGAGGGCTATTGGTTTGAATATTTTCCTGACAGCATATTTTTACACAAATAGTTGAAGGTATGCACTTTCCTAGGAGTGAGAAGAATTTACATTTATATCATACAAATAAGATGCTAGCAACTAATGTTCCTTAACTAAGGTACGTGATAATTGAGTCGGATATTTCTCCGACTAATTTGATTTTATGTTTATGCGAGATGCCAATGAGTTATGATTTTATATTGTCTAAGCTGTTGGCGTAAGCCTTAAAATTTGGAGTTACTTTGGGTACTATAGGTAATGCGCCTTGAGTTTGTCTAAATCTAAATTGGTCAAAGCCGTTCCAAGCGTGTAATTTCGAATCGTTATGTTGACTGAATGCGTAGTACCTTCAAGTTTCATTACATTATTGTTGTATAAGAAGATGCAATCTTCGTTGCTAGTAATTTTGACGGGTTTTTCGCTGTTACAGAGTGAGATAATCGTGATCGTGTGTCCTGGTATGATAATGTATGTGTTAGGCGCGTACATTAGTAAAAACGTGAGTTCCTGAATTTTGAAGATGGTTAGCAGATATTCATTGTGGTTTGCTCATTCTAAAGCGTTAGTGTGTTGTGCGGGTTGAGTACATTTACAAATTTTTGCAAGGCTGGTGGATCTAGAATAGTAGTCTAGGTAAATGATATCAATTGGTATGAATTGTCCTTGTGCTTTTAGCAAATGTTCGTGCTTAAGCAGGGCTGTTACGAAGATGAATCCCTTTTTGTAGGGGATGGTGTACGATTTAGTATGTGTCCATTCATTCTCTTCTAGTATGGACATAACAACTGAATAGATAATTTGGCGGTCGATTATATAGATTTTAAGTTGACCGATGTCGATCAATGTTTGAAAGTTATGTAATTTAGGTGATATATGCGGTATAATTGAATGTGTTTTCAAGATTTTCTCGTAAACGTCCATAAATTGTACTGAGTCAATTTCTTGTCGTATAATACCGTGTTTTCCTAAAGTGATTGTTTCTTGTAAGTTGTCGATGTTTTCTCTAATGTCTATAATTATGATTTCGGCTAATAAAAGTAATCCAAGCGTTCTTTCGAACGTGTGGGAGTGTTCGTGCTATTGAGAATGGTTCTGAACATAGCAGTTTGATTTTGTACGATCTTAGAAAGTTTTGTGTTTTCATCTAATAGTTTGTCAATATTTTGATTTATCAGGATTAGATCGTTTTCGTCAAGGATTCCGAAAAGTGCTTTGGAAGCTGAACCTATTATGTTCAGTATTCCTCGCTTGGCACGTCAATGTAAAAGGTTACTCAGGCGGTCGTATTCTACGTTTAGTTTGCGCAATTTTTCCACGGGATATGCCGTGTTAATGTTGTTACAAATTTTGCATGTGTTTTTGATTTCGTTCATGAGTTGACTTGCTTTGTCTAAGTCGCTGCTAATAACGGATGGGTTAATGATGATGTTAATTTTTATCTCGTTCTAGTACATGTGGACCATTTCTATTTTTTCGTCTATGATTTGTGAGTGATTGAGATTGGTGATTTATAATCCGTGGGTTTTAGCCTGGAAGGTGAATGATAGGGTTTTAATCGGTTTCCGTGCGTTAGCAAAGTTTTATTGTTTCAGATTTATTTGAGGTATAGTTAGGTTTTCGTACTTCGAGTATTTTGTAAGGGCCTAGGAATTCCGGGGATAGCTTGTTTCGTTTATGGTCCTTGTGTAGGAGTACTAAGTCATCGACATTACATAAACTTTGGATTCTGATTTTTCTGTCTTGGTCTTGTTTATACCGTTTCTTATTGGCTTCAATATTGATTTTCGCTTAATTGAGGTAGTCGTTACGCCGTTGTTTCCAAAGTTTAAATAATCCATTGTAGGAAAAGGCGGGTGTTAGTGCGATTGAGGAGGATAGGTTGGCTTTTCGTCCGAATGTTAGTTCGAAGGGTCTGTATCCTGTGGTTGACTGAACAGAGGTATTAAATGCCATAGTAATTAGATTGAGGTATTCATCCCAATCGGTTCGAGTTTCATCAATACTGGTCCGCAGTAGGTCTTTGACAGTGCCGTGAGTTCTTTCAAGAGCTCCATTGTTTTGTGGGTGGAAGCTGGTGTTTTAATATGTTGAATTTTGAAGATTTTCTCGAATTATTCCATGAGTTTGCTAACAAAGTTTTGTCTTTGGTCAGTGAGAAGGTGTTACGGTGAGGAGAAGATGTAGATATAGCGAGAATATCAGTTTGTCTATAATGGATTCTGTTCTCTGGTTTTATAAAGGGATGAGCATCAGGTATTTGGTAAGATAGTCTTGGATTGGGAGGATAAATTGGTATCCTACGTTCAATTTTACTGGGATATTGGATTTGATAGTGACTGGATATATTGGATAGCGAGATAAAGCATCGGCGACCACGGTTGTTTTACCTTTTTTGTACTCTATTTCGAAGTCATATTCTTCGAGTCTCAGTCTCCATCTCATGGGTCTAGAAGAGGGGTCCTTTACATCTTTAAGCCAGACTAAAGCTTGATGGTCTGTTTGAATAATAAATTTTCTGCCTAATAAATATTGTTGTAAACGCTTTGTTGTCCATACATTGCTAAGAGTTCCTTTTCCGTGATGGAGTAGTTTCGTTCAGCAGGATTGCGTGTTCGGGATATGAAATTAGAGGGTAGGTTGTCTTGGAATAAGACAGCTCCTATGCCTTCGTTACTGGCATCTGTGGTTAGGGTGAATGGTTTAGAAAAATCAGGGTATTTGAGGATTGGTGTCGAGCACAATTTTTGTTTGAGATCTTTGTATGCAGTTTCTTGGTCAATTGTCCATCTAAATGGTTCGTTCTTTTTCGTAAGGATCGTGAGAGGTTTGGAGATTTTCGCAAAGTTTCTAATGAATTTTCTGTGATATCTGGTTAGTTCTAGGAAAGCTTTTATTTGGGTAGGTGTTTTAGGTTGAGGGAAATCCTTGATGGCCTTGATCTTATTGGGATTTGACTGCGGTTATTATTTACTCCGTCTGCGGTTATTATGTGTCCTAAATATTCGAGTTCCGGTTTCAGAAATTCGTATTTGTCGATCTGCAGTTTTAGTCCTAGATCTTGTAGTCTTTGAAATATGATGACTAGATTCTTACTGTGTTCTTCGATCGTCTGTCCGAAAATAATAATGTCGTTCGTATATGTGAAGCCGTGTTTGTCTACTAGTCCTTGCAAAGCAGTGTCTATCATTCTTTGGAAGGTTGCGGGTGCATTTTTGAAGCCGAATGGCCCTTCGTACGGGGGTTTTAGCAGTTTCCTGGCTGCGTCAACTCGTACGAAGACGTGTGTGCATTCGGATAATGATCTGTGGATGAAGCATCTTGGTTTAACACGTTGACTGCCGTGTCACCCGTATTCGGGTGACAGCAAAAGTTCTCATCAGGCCACGTCACCCGTATTCGGGTGACAGCAAGAGTTCTCATCGAGCCGTTTCCCCCATACTTCCGTGACTCCTTCCAAAGGAGAGAGATTTCCGAACATATTTAGATAAATATTTGACAGGAGATAATAATACTGTTGAATTTTTTTAAAAATCGTTTATTAACAAAATTATTTACAGTGCAAAATATTGAAGCATTCACTGCAAAGTTGTGGTTGACCAGGGCAGCTTGGACAAAAAGTAGTAGGTTTTCTGAGATTTGCTCGTGCCTTTGATCGTTCCAGTTCTTCCCTTTTATTTCTGCGAACGGCGATGCAATGCGTATTTCGTCGAACCGAAGGCACGGTTAAATCTTCACTCAGTCCTAGTAACTTTGCAGTAATCAGTTCTCTGAATCGTCTAATATTTACAGCTTTTTTTGTCGCAATTTTGTAAACGACCAAAGCGTTTACAATTGACGTCCCCAGCAGAAGTTCAACACGAAGCTTTCTATACCACTTGATTCCTTTCCTCATCGTCGTGGCACAGGAAACCATTTGGTCTGAATAATCTATACCACATTTACCCTTATTATATTTGAGGACAGCCAGAGGTTTGAGTCTTGCGGATGGCTGCTGGCTTGAAGAAGCAGCACGAATGTTTTTTGGGCTTTGTGTCATGATAGGAGCGTGTTTCGTAGATAATATTCTCACGTCACGTGTATCTCTCCATTTGAGTATCATAATTCCGTTATCATCCTCTTTAACTACCATTTCTCCCCTTCTTAGTTTGCAATTAAGAACATCTTTTGGGATAGATTTTTTGTTATGTCTAAGTGTTCCAACTACATGAGTCTTGCGTCTTAGGCATGATATAGCTAACTCATAGCTTGTATAAAAATTGTCAATGTACAATGTTCTTCCTTGATCGAAAAGTTTCTCTGCCAGTTGTAGACACACATTGTGTGCCAATCCGGTTTCTCTAATACCTTCTGCTGATTTACCAGAGTATAGTTTCATTGCCCATGTGTATCCTTCGCTTGAACATAATTTGAATAATTTGATTCCGTACTTGTGCGCTTTATTTGGAATGTATTGTTTGAAGATGAGTCTTCCACGCCATGAAATTAACGTTTCATCGATAACAATGTCTTCTCTAGGCGTATAAGCTTCCTGATACTTTCCTTGCAATTTGTTGAAAAATGGAAGTATTTTACCAAGCCGGTCATCACGGACAATGGACATATTATCGACAAAATGAAAGTTGCACAATAATAGTTCAAATCTGTTTCGTGACATAATTCGACGCGGTAGCCAGAAATTGTACAATTCGTTTTTGGCCCAATAATTGGCTATAGGGCTCACTTTTACAAGTCCCATCCACAACAATAATCCCAAGAATTGTTTTATTTCTTCAGGGTTTGTTGATTTCCATTTATGCATTCGTGAACCTGGAGTCGGCCTCGATTCATTTAGTTTTTTTGTTGTGCATATCTATTAGTTTCTAATACCAGCAAGTTTATGATTTCGTCATCGACGAACAACGTAAACACATCATACGGATTTATATCGTCAGGTAATTGCTTATTCAGACCGCCGGTTTCTTGAAAAGAAAATGATTTTTGCCGACCACTAAATTCACTCCATTCACTCTGTTGAATTGGAACTTCCTCAGTATCATCAACGTTGCTTTCTTCTTCCAAGACCAAATCTCGTAACATCTCGTCAACAGTATCTTCATAACATTCATTATCACTAAGATTGCATTTATCCGTATCCGTATCAGAATCTGACGATATGATTCGATTTACTTTTCTTCTTTTGGGCAATCTGATCACTTCCTCATCGCTGCTATCCGAATTTGAGCAACACTAGCGTGACTAGTCTTCCTTTCACTGCTATGTGAATCACTGCACACTGACTTTTTCATCTTTCTCTTCACCATTGAAAAATTATGGACGGAGATTTTAAATTGTACTACTCAGTACACGGCGAAGATTACAACTGCTCGTGCAGAGTAATAACGTGACAAGTGAGGATCGTAGCAGATATCAGGGTGAGATTACCGAAAGAAATGTAAACAAACATGCGGTAGCAGAGCACGCATCTTACAGTGTCACGGGTGGCCTGACGGGGATTTTGTTGTAAACACGCGTGGCAGTCAACGTGTTAACCCTTTCGCTACGGGCGGGTTCTCCGCTGCGGTACTTCTGCTGAACGGAGTGCCGCGACATCACTGCACGCTACGCGATGCGCGATGTCAGCGAGAGTACCGCGGCGGAGAACCCAAGCGGCTTGAATGTTTTCGGACGAAAAAATGTTTCTTCAAAGGGTATTTATAAATAAAGAGAAATATAATTAGAGCATTATGCAATATAATATAATATAATAAAACAATATAAGATATTATAACGTAATTCTACAAATAATTCAACACAACATAATACAATTCTAATAATATAACTGCGTATGATAGTTTTTAAAGCATGGTGTTACACACAGGCCAACGTTGCAAATTTCGCATTGGTATCGCGATCTCTTTTTCTTGTCATTTCTTGAACAAACTACACACCTTCGCAGCTGATTTTTCCGTCTTGGATTTACATTTGTGTATAGCGACGGGAAGTGGTTTCCAGCGAGGCGAAGTGGATTCGTTTCCCCTGAGTTATTTGCAATGTTATTCTTACTGTCAGACTGATAACGACTTAAAAGTTGTTGAATTAGTTCTAGGTGAAATTTTGCCATTGATATTTATCTTCCAGTTTTTAACTTATATAGGCAATAAGCATTCCAAATGCATATATCCATTAAGTGAAAAAAATATTTTTTATACCGTTTCAATGTTTTGCGTTCTGAATGAATGGTGCTGATGACCATATCGGTTTTATCAACAGTTCCCATTAATTTATTGTAATCAACAACGCACTTTGGCTTCATAATCATTTCTCGAGTCCGATAATGACGTTTCGTTTCAACGAATTCTTCGTTATGGAAAGAAGATAGCATGTATACGTCTCTCTTATCACTCCATCTCATCGCTAATAAATACTTGGAGGAGCGAAAACTTGCTTCACCAGTTTTTAATTTATTTTGGATAAGTGCCATGCCTTTCCGCCTTTTCCGTACCGTTCCACAAGCGTTAGTCTGATTATGATGCAAAAGAATAAAAAGTGCGGGGCTTGTATACCAATTGTCTACGTATAACGTATGGCCTCTGCCTAAATAAGGTTTTAGTAATTCCATTACTATGTTTCCTGACTTCCCAATAAATTCATTTACGCAGTCTACAGTGGTTAATGAGCCATTATAAATAATCAAATCCTGCACAAATCCAGATTTGGTATCGCATAAAACAAATGATTTTATCCCAAATCTGTTTCGTTTGGAGGGTATATATTGCTTAAATGATAACCTTCCTTTGTACAGGAGTAAACTTTCGTCAATACATAAATTTTGAAAAGGATAAAATGTCTCCTGAAAACGGTGTCGCAGCTTATCACAAATTTCCCTTATTTTATATAATTTATCACCATCTGCAGTCACAATGTTAGTATTAAAATGTACAATTTTCAGCAAATACAAAAATCGGTCTCTACTCATCACCTCTCCAAAAATGCTGGTCTTCAAAAGTTTGTCGTTAGACCAGTATTCAGAATATTTTAGTTCTTTATTTCGCGACATCAAAAATTTGAGGGCATGAAAGCAATACATCTCTGGGAGAGAAGTATTTTGTGAATTTATTGTATTATGATTCTTATCAATGCTATTGCAGTAACTGTTTGTCGTGCCGACAATGAAACTTATAAAATCTTCCGAGCAGAACAATTGAAAATAACCTAAAATCGATGCCGAATACCTAATTGACGCCTTTATTCCGGGATGCTGGGAATTAAATCTATGAAAAGTCGGTTGAAATAAGTCGCTGGCCCATCTAATATCTGTGAGATCTTTTTCAGATTTAGATGAACAGTCTTCTTCGTATTCGGTTGTGCTGGATTTCATTTCTCGAAATCTTCTACTATTTCTATGAGGTCTCTTTCTTGCCAAATTTGAATTTATCTCGTCACCCTCTGACGGATCCGAATAATTGTTGCCTCGGGCAATAAGACTTTTTCTGTTTTTTGTCTTCATTTTAAGGACGAGATAAAATCTATTCAGAAATAATAATTAGTCTAAATAAAATTAAAAAAAAATTGAAAAACGATAAGGCATACCTGTTTTATATAATTTATATTATTATACCTATTTTATATTATGTATATGAAGGTGAATTATCTTTTTGCACTAAGTACTGTCTTTATTCGCTACGGACGATTGAACAGCTACTGAATCGAGACTGATTGTCGAGGAACATCGGTTGCTAAGCAGTTTGTTATTTCGGTTGTCAGCAACAAATGATGCAAAAAAATACTATCAGTGGATGCCCAGTGTCAACAAACCGGTTGGCCGCAATAGCTCAGTGGCATCTTGCGGAGAGCCACTATAGTGGCCCGTAGTATCGAAAGGGTTAATAGGAAAGTTGGTTGATTTGGTTGAAAATCCACTTCTTATAATGACCTTATTGACCTCATATAACGTACGATGAACTGTACAGCTGATCTGTATACGACAGTGACGAACAGAAGGAGATGTTTCCGGGAAGACTATTCTAACCTTCACTTTCACTACACTACTACTAAACATCGATCACTTATTTAACACTATACCTATATTGTCCAAAAGCAGTCAAAATGACTGCATTGTGAAAGAATAACTAATGTGTAAAGAAATTTGTTTAAAATTAATTTTTAATATTTTTTTATATTATTTACAGTTATATAACAGGTTATTAGTAAATATTAACAATAAAAAAAATTTACTTCACTTGAAAAAAATAATAATTTATGCATTATTATGTTTGACATTTTTCACATATATTACTTGTTTTGTTGTTGTGGCAAAGTCGTACTTGACAAATTTTGCGTTTGTTAGAATGGGTTGCATTTGATGATGTTGCAGCTGATCTTTGTGGGTCTTTATGTTGTTGTGAATTTTTCTGTCTTGCAGCTCTGTATTCGGTGGAAAGCTGTTCTGCTAATTGAAACAAGAACTCTTTTTGTTGTATTTGCATACCTGTCGTTTCTTTGTAAAGGATCGTTTATAAAATATTGAAAAATATTTTGAGGGGCCATCTACGAGAATTAGCTTTTACTGTATATTTTCTAGCCATTTGATCCGCCATATCAACTCCAAATTTTGTGCTGTTGTAAAATTGAATAGATTCCGGTAACATTTTTTTATTACTTTTATCAATTTTCACAAATTTATGCTTAGAACTTAGAACAGCTACTCTTTTATTTGGATTGCTTTTATATATTGTAAGAACACAATTCTCTGATTTATATAGCAGAGTAGAAAAACGAGGCATGTTATCCTTCGTTTGTTTGGTTGCTTTTGGTAGTTCTCTTTTGTTTCCTCTAATAGTTCCAACTAGAGTTGTTTTTTTGGCTAATAATTTTGTCACGAGTGACATACTAGTGAAAAAGTTATCGGTCGTAATATTTCTTTCACAGCTTGTATATGGCTCGACAAGTTTCAGAACAACGCGTTCACTCAGAAGCATTGACGATGATCGTTGTTCAACTTTCCCCAAATAAGGAAAACCATTCAAAACATATTTACTACTAACATCTGATGCAAGCCAGAATTTGATGCCAAATTTGTTGGGTTTATTAGGCATATACTGTGTAAATCTGTGCACCTGTCTTTTGAAGGAAATAATTGCTCGTCAACTGTTATATTTTGCCCTGGTTGATAGCAAGCTTGACTGTTTTCAATGAACTTATCCCATATTTTCGAAACCAAGGCAAATTTATTTGTTTGTAGGCGCCTACTTCTTTCGGTTCTTCTGTCAAAACGAATAAATCGTAGGATTTGCTTGAACTTTTCTCTGGCCATAGTTTTTCTAAAAAATTCGGGACCCCAATTTGCTGACTATAAATAACTCAATTTTAAATTTTTTGCCTCGTAAGCTCCACGAGCATATAAAATCCCAATAAATGCATGTATTTCCGGTAATGGCGTTGTCCAATCGTTCCTCAAAATTCGGCTATCTTCTTCTTCTGTGCACTTTCTTATATGTTTGATAATATGGTTATCTATTATCAACGAGAATGCACTGATAGGATTATCTGCTATAGTGTTCCTTTTTGCGTATTTCACTTCTATTCGACATTTCTTTCATGAATTTAGGGCGCAAATGATGTAAAATAAACAACTTGTCAGAACAAGTACCACTGAATAAAGATACGAATAACAAGTGCTACTTTAGCTTATTGAGCAACTGCAACTTATCTAGTATACGCCCAAATCGACTATTTATCATGTATTCATGTATGTTATCATGTAACGGTAATCGAAAAAAATGAAAAATTTTATTTCAATACAGAGCCGAATTGGTTATATAAGAAATCTACCCAATTCAATAATAAGAGTCATTTGATTATTTTAAATTTCCCAAGCAGTCAAAACGACTGCTTTTGGGCAATATAGGTATAACGCATATATCCATATATACCGGAAATGAAGGGGGGTGGGGGGAGGTAACTACAATTATTAATAAACACATTTATGTGTGTTGTACAAAAAGTCACAAAATTCTAAGAAGTTGTGTCGTTATATACATAATTATTTTTCTAATTGAAATTAAAAAGCAGTCAAAATGACTGCCTTGAGCAATCTAGTGTTAAGGTAGCATCTACGTGTTAGCTACACACAAAAGCGATATCAAAATTTACCGAATGTCCTTACTGGACAAATTGCAAAGTATATTGGACATATATATATATATATATAAAACTCTCCTAAACCATCATTGCATAAAACTAAATACCCAAAGGATATTCAGACCAGGAGACACCGCCTACCCAGGAAACAATCTCTGCGCCTACTGCTATGAAGATTTGACCCCCAGTTTAAAGAAACTAATTGTATTAATTGGATGGAATCATGCCATCACTAGCTAGGAAGGACTCTTACACCTCAGAGAATACACCAATTAGCTCGTGCCCCTGGTAAACATAACATGTGCACCCCAGTGTGCATCCTCAGTGCATAGAGACTAATTTCACATAGACTTATGAACAATGGGTATATATCTCATCGGATTACTCAAAAGGCAGTGAACATATGACACAACTCGATGATTGATATTAATTTACTACTACTACTATTATAATTTACTTCTAATAGCGTAACTGTCCCGTCTGCGTAGGTACGGCCGACGCGTCTTGAGCTAACGTGTTTACGACGGCCATTCTTTCACCATTTTTGAATAGCTTCCTGGGTGTAAATCTCGCCATTAGCCAAGTTGATTGGATTGGTGTATTTTTAGGAAGATGATGTAATTGTCTGGATTGGTGATGGTAGTGGTACGTTCTCTATCGGCCGTGGCGTCAATTTATACCACGTAACGTGAATCCTGTACGTGGATGGAATTAGTTCGTTGTAGGATTTCTTTGTTCCGGTTTTCACCTGAATTCGTGTTCGAGGTGTTAAGAAGAAGGAATTGTTCCTGTAATTTACCGGGAGTTCGTCGAAGCATTCCTCCGTTTTACGGAGCGAGCACTGCACTGGAGTACACTTCACAACGTGTATAACTTCACCAGATTAAATGGCTCTAAACCCAGGTTCTTTTGTGAGAGTGGTGGCGACCTCGGCTGGTGACGTGTGGATCAGTGAAATGACGTTCTTCAGTACTTGCTGCTCGAGCTTGCATTTTTGTTTCTTGTTGTCCCGATAGAAAGACAAGATTTGTGATTTGACGTGCTTCTCAATATATATAAATTTGGTGTTAACATATGTGAATATGTCTAAGTTATTAACTTTAGTTTTCTGTATTGATTCGAACTACCTTTCCTTAGCAGTTTCCAAGATAAGGAGCTTAGAGTGCTCTGTTTTGATTAGGACGTATCCGCAGATCTGTGCACGTCCTGTGCTAGTAGGGCGAAGGCTGTATCGCCAGAAGTAACAGTGTAGATCATGCAGCGGAGTAATGCATATTTTATCATTTCTTTTCCGTGAATTAAAAATTTATGGATAGGGACTGGCATATAATACCACTCATATTGGTCAATAAAATGTTTCGCTGTACTTTGTGTATGGTCCTCAAATTTAGTTATATCTATTTCATACGGTGAAGAAATGACTTGAAGTATCCTATGAAACTTTTTTATCGATATAATGTCGATTCCAGTTATTTCAGATGCTAATTCAGGGTTCGAAAAAAATCGTCTGGCCGTATTTCCGTCGTTCGAAGAACCCTATTCTTGTTTGACGAAATCAACTAATAATCCCATTTTTTCCCATTGAATTGGTGCTGAATATATTGTTTCCTCTCCTGGCTTAGCTTTTTTTAAAAACCGTGCTTTATTAATAATATAAAGTCGCCGTTAGTGTCACGTAATAATTCGTGACTAAATATAAAAAAAGGAAGAGCTGAGCCGTAGCCCAACTCTCACGATTTATTCAAAGTATTGAAGGTTACAAAAAGTAAAAGTTTACGAATATCGAGCGATGGATTCCCGATGGCTGAGGAATGATGAGTGACTGCTGCGGTTTGAGGTCCCTCTTTTATACATCTTCTTATCAGCGACTGGAGTGGGAGTGGAGTGTCGTGGGTGTATCCTTTGTAGGCGGAAAAATATTGGTGGTTACATTAGAACAGTAAACTATGCACTGAGTTTTACAATATATATTATATACGAATTACCTTAATGGATATAATTCGATGTCGATAAATAACTTTATGACTTTCGGTATGAACGTAGAAAAGTAACTAACTGTTTGACTTCGGTTTAATTGACTGACTTCTGCGGTCCTCGCCTGTGTTTTTATAGAGCGCAGTCAGTGGTCAAATAGGTGAGGGCACCCGTGCGACTGAGTCTTCGCGGTCTGTCTCGCTGCATTCCATTCCCATCTTAATCTTGCAGGTGTGCCGACTCTTATCGCAGTCACGTCCGCTGCATGGGATTGAGTCTTCTTGCCCTATCTCGCTGCATACCTTTTCTATCTGCATCCACTGGCGCGCTGGTTCTTATCGCAGTCACGTCTGTTTCGTAAGACCGAGTCTTCGTGCCTCATCTCGCTCCATACCTTTGCTATTGTTACGGGACGGATTCCCAAATAGACATAAAGTATGTGAAACAGGGAGTGATGCTTCGTTGTCTTCAGTAATACGGTGTCTATCCCAATTTGTCGTAATACACAGTGTATTTTCCGCAGAGAATACAAGTTTAACAAAATAATACGTAGAACGGTGGCGATACTGACGGAGGTCTAGAGGTACAGAATAAAGTAGATACAACTGGGTTGACACTGAATCTAGAACTGCTTTATTGGGTTTCTGTGGCTTTTTATATACGCGATTTTTATCTTAGAGTATAGGGGTAGGAGTATATCTGGGGTCATGTTCCAATGGTGACACACCAAGCAAAATGAGGGAGTCTTGCTTCATACTATCTTCGTCCGCTGGCGGGCCAGTTCTAAGAACAGTCACGTTCAGTCCATGTGCCAACTCTTGCTTCGCATTTCCCACCAGTGTATTGCTATCGCCACAGCGACTGAATGGTATGGGGATACTCGTTGGTGGGGATGGCTACGTTTGCTGGGCCATCGCGTCAGTTAAATCTTAGGTTCTAGACAGTGCGGTACAATAGTATTAGCTAAGACCAGTCGCGAGTGCAATCACAGTTCGTTTATTACTTTTTACTACCAGTTTTTGATTTTCTGTTTCTACGAGTGCCTCTTCGATTGTGTTTTTATTTGGCGAGCTGTGATTCTCGTTCGTCATTTATAATTCTATCATTAAAAGCGACATGGTGAATTCGGGAAATGTCACGTTTTTAATTCTTTTCTTCCAAATTGCTTTTCGTTCAGTGATCATTGCTAGAATTCCCATGTTTCTTTTGTGAACATTTGATTCGTGTTTCGTGATTATGAATTTTATTGCGACCATTTTCGGATTTTAAAGTTCAAGGGCCGAGCGCTCAAATGGTGTCAAATTGCGATGTAATTAGACACCATTTTACAAAATTTTTCGACAGACCGGCGACCCGGCAAGACGTGAGCTATACCGAATTCGGGTGCGCTTTAGTCGCGGGACGTGACAAGATGTAACAGCGCATTGCCGATATCATTTTTGCCATTGCATTACAGATTTTATTATCCACCATTGTTAAAGCCATGGTATAATATACTATTGTATCATTATTAACTTTTAATGGTTTTAAATTTTGAATTTCAATGTTAATTCGGTTTATGTCTGCATCAATTCTTTCCTGACTTTCTTTTACAAATTGAAATTTGATTGGCCGGCAAAACCATGGCGATGATGGACAATCTTCTCTAGTAGGAAGTCGAATGCAACTCGGTGGATTTTACAGGTAATAGTATTAGTTTTTTATTACCACTATTCGATACTCCAGCACGCAACAAGGTTGGTTCACGTGCTTTAGCTATTTTCTCGCTGGTATATAAATCTACTGCACCCGCATCGAAAATTACTAAATTGTCGTTAAGCATAATTAGGCGATCTCGAGTATGAATCGAAGTGCGTCTGTTCGATGTGGCAGGAGTGTTATGATTTTCAAGAAGTATTTCCTTGTCGCCGGATTCTGATTGGGAGTCAAGACTCAAGGTATTGGCTCTTCCGGTGGGTGGTTTCACCGAGAGGGAAGGCGATTGCAGCTCGGAAGAAAATGGAGGATGCGGTAAAGTTAATGGCGGACTAGATGATGTTCGAGGGGGAAGGGGATGCTGTGGGAGGTTTCCTTGACGGTGATTGGCGACCGATAATCGGGGAAGATTGCCACTAGGTATGGTCGAAAGATCGCGATGGCTGCCTTATCGCGTCGAACATGTCAGGCGAACTGGAGCCAGAGGAAATAGGAAGGGCCGTGACTGGATTTCGGGACAATACATCCACGTTAAGATTCGTTTTGCCGGATTTATAAATGATTTTATAATCGAATTCCGCCAGTTTGAGGCGCCCAACGGAGTAACCTTGAAGTGGGGTCTTTTACCGAATCTTAATTTAACCGCTGGAACAAAAGCCATGTTCCAACATAGGTTTGTCCCCGGCTTTCCACCGATAGAGTTCTATGCGGCACGCGAAGCATGCCATGAAATCATCCTCCCTCAGATAATAAAATCCGGCGTTCGCGAGCTCCTCCGGCTTAATAAACGGGACCGACTAATTTCCAAAGCTGCGAAGCCTGTCCTCTTCGCACCGATAGTCCATCATACATTCTTACGTTTTCTCTCTCTAGAAGAGAGCGTGTGCGCGCAACTTGGAATTCGTCAGATGGAGGAAAAGTTGGATGAGATCATGGAGTAGTAACCGTTTTCTCTCTCCTAGCGATATCATAATGTTCCCAAGGAAGCGTATCGATCGAATTACTGGTAATGTAGCGTTTATCGTCGTATGGACTCAGCGCTAATTTCATCTGCGATATCGAATACACACGACGCTTTACAGACTTTATCAATTTAATGCAAACCGACTTTTCCAAGTGATCGTAAAGGCATTTCAAATAGTCGTTAAAAGTTATACTTTTGATCGTCGCGTTGGTCCTAATTCCTTTAATTTTTCTTCACATCGTTTTTGTTCTGTACTTGAATCGCGTTCTATACATTTTCGAGCGAAGACCCACGAACTCTGTCATGATTTTGCCTCCGTTCTCGTCCTTCATCAATTCGATGACTTTGTTGTTCGCGATTGGAACACCATACACGTTGTCTCTGTCGTAATTGCTGGTATCGTATCAGTCAATGTCACGTTTTATCTTCTCGTACGCAACGTCGAAAGCAATCCGATAAATCAAACTGTCCGTGTCCGTGTACAAAATTTTGCATCTCTCTTGAAAATTTGGATGCATGTAGCTGTAATGAAAATCATACAAACGTAATTTTGATATGTCCAACATCGACCTGCTTATGTAAACGGGTTTATAAAATTTAATGGAAAGCTGTTTCATTTGAATCGCAACAAAATCCTCGGAGAATACGGTACAGCTGTAGAAATTTGGTCGGGATATTAAACGTTTTGCACCGTGTTGACCGCTCCATCGTGAGAGCAACTTCACGCGATTTCGCAAGTTCTCCATCGTCTTTCCGAAAACCGCGTTGTTCATCAGTTTGAACAGATTCGTCGAGAAATCTGTGTTCGCGCTGGCGCGCAATCTCGTGTTTAAATCTATGTAAGCACGTATAACCAGCTCGATTACTCGAACTCCAGTATCCGATGGATTCTCTTCAATTTTAAATTATGTCTCAAACATTGCTGGAGGTATCGATAATGGAGAACGTAACGGTTCTTGTCACTATCCGTTGCTAGCAATTTCTTTTGCAACGCTCTAACCTCATGAATCGGTCAAAACGGAAGATCCGAGTGAGAATCGTGAATTTCCTGGGGATACTCCAAGTCGACCTCTAAAATGTATCCGACGGGGCTGTCGATCGGCATGGAATCGACGTTGAAATCGCTCGCATCGTCGACCAATTCTTGTTGTCGTCGTCATCGTTGACGTCTCCACCCTCGTTGTCGTCATCGTTGGCGTCTCCACCCTCGTTGTTGTCGTTGCACACCTCGCTGAGGGCACAGTGGTACTGCTGTACCTTCTGCTTCGAAGTTGAACTAGGCGTCCAACAATGAAGTCTACATGGCACATCATATGACCCATATTTCGGGTCCGCGATTAAAGTTTCAAATTTGGGGCAACCAAAAATTTCTAAATTTATGCTACGAACGCCAATTTCGCGTAATATGTCTTTTTCTCGTAGCGGGCAGCGTAGCCTGTTTGCACGTTCACGATTGCCATTTCCTTACAAACAAAATTTTTATGGATGTTAAATCCATCCATATCGATGATGAAATCAACTTTTGACATGTTTAAAATATTTTCAGTAGAAGGTGCATGCTCACTTTTCACAACAACGGTTTGATTTGCTCCGCGTTATGCTTCATCTATTTATTAACATGCGCACACGCGTAGTTCCCCTCTACAACGTCATAAAAATGGAAGCGCAATAAGAAAACGCTGCATATTTAAATTCAACAAGATGAGAAAACTAAAACCCTGGAAGATAACGCGTCCAAGAGTCCTCTTAATTGCAATTGTTGTGTGCCGGACCATGATGCGCGGCCGTGAAATGACAATGATCGCGCACTCGTACGTCGCGATCGCCGAACGGTTCTTCGCACACGTGGCAATGCGTGGCGGTATCGAATTCCGAAATTTGCGCGGCAGTCATTGTAGCCATCGGAACCGCCCGATCGAACGTCGGCTGCAATTTAAGGCTCAACTTGTAAAACTCCGATGCGAACCACGCGATACAATCTTTCTCGTTGCAATAAGTCCGATACTCGCACAGGGAGCTGTCGTATCGACAATGAAGATAGTAGCCTACGCTGAAGGCACGGTGATGCTGATATCTGCGACAAGTTCCATGACCTCGATCTTCCTGTTTCTCCAGCACCCATATTTCGGGTCCGCGATTAAAGTTTCACATTTGGGGTAATCAAAAACTTCTAAATTTATGCTTCGAACGCCAATTTCGCGCAATATGTCTTTTTCTATATGCCCCCCCCCCCCTTATATAGTGGTACTGCTGTACCCTCTGCTTCGAAGTTGAACTAGGCGTCCAACAATGATGTCTACATGGCACGTCATATGAACCATATTTCGGGCCCGCGATTAAAGTTTCAAATTTGGGGCAACCAAAAATTTCTAAATTTATGCTTCGAACGCCAATTTCGCGCAATATGTCTTGTTCTATATGCCCCCCCCCCTTATATGCGATTACAGGATCCTTGTAGCCGCGAATGAAAATTTTAATTATATGACCGATGTCTTTTTGTTGATGATTTATTTTCCCCGAAAAATTTTTATAGGGGATCCCATGTATAAAATTCGTGACATACCACGCAGACTCTTGATCAGCTTTGCTCAAATCAGTGTAGCAGATGCCTAGTTCAAATTCGTAGAGAATTTCTAGGCCGGTATGTACATTTATGGTGGCCAACTCCTTACACTCAAACTTTTTTTTGATGTTGAAAGCATCCATGTCAACTATAAAATCGATTGCAGACATGTACACTTTTACTTCGCGAGAACGATTTGATTTGCTCCGCGTTATGCCTCATCTATTTATTAATATGCGCACACGTGTAGTTCCCCTCTACAACGTCATAAAAATGGATGCGCGATAAGAAAACGCTGCATAATTAAATTCAATAAGATGAGAAGACCGGAAGGTAAGCGACTATCGATAACGCGTACAAAATGCGAAACCGCGAGACTTCTCCCACCACGGAACTCGTCGCGGCCCTTCCCCCTCCATACACACCGGAACTCGCGGCAGTACTTCCGCCTCCGCGGTAGTACTTCCGCCTCCGTACCAAGTCTGGGTACTGGAACAAGGGTTCCGTTGTCAGAATTTCGC